TTTTAGTGCAATCATCAATAAATGACACAAACTCTCAAGCTCTAGAAAGATTAAGTGGGTGAGTTAGCTTGTAAATATCATTGTGGATTAATAAAAACATGGCTACAGATCTTTTATACTAACGAAAAATGTTACATACTTATATTTTGCAAACTCACATATAACTCAACGCAAATTTCCATAGTCTGAACTTTTAAAGAATAAGTAAAACATACGCTTCAAGATTGAGAATTATGGATGTCCAAGTTTTATGGTGAAGCCAACTCTTATGCATGGGATTGGTAGTAAAAATATAAAAGGCTCCTCCAGGTGCATCCAAGTAGTAAAATCTATTTATAATTTCAGCATGTCCAACCATCTTCCTCAAATTTTGATCTTGAAAGTCATGGGGTAAAGAGTCAAATATTATTTTACAGGTTAAGTCTTGCAGTAATTTATTTAGTGATAATTTTCTTATTTTTTGAACATGGAACGTATATATGAAAATATTTGAAAATATTGATAGTATAATTTGTGATTTTTGAGTGTATAATCTAAGAATTTTAAAAGAGTTCCATCTGAAAAATTTAAACCATGTGAAAAAGAAAGCATACATGACTATTTTGTTACACTTATACCTTAGAAGCTTCTCAAGGTCCTTCAAATACTTTCATAGTCGTTCAATATTAACTTTCAAAACAGTGAGCTCGGCAAATGTTTTTTCTCCCTGGTTAGCCATATGACCTCTGTGAAATATTTTTATATTCTCACTCTTTACTAGAAGTACTGGACTTTAGTGCACTTGAATTTTTCACAAAAATACATCAAAGATTTTCTCTGCTATTTGCTCTTGCAGTTGAGCTCTCAAAGTTGCTCACCTCCTTTGTTTGCTAGTGAGGTTTAAAATCTTGTGATATCAACATTGAACTATTGGTGGAGCAAAGCTGTAGCATAACCTCTCTTCCGCTGTTACAATTTGGACATTTCCTCTTTTTTTAATGGCATTTCCTCTTTTTCTAAAATTTGGACTCGCACTTGATCATATTCAAAATTCAGTCTTATCAAAAATTGCTAAGTAAGGTCTTTTTTTACAAACTTCTTGACACAAACTGCATCTCCATTCATATCCATGGTAACACAATGATAATGATCTAATTCCTGCCACCAATTTTTTAACGAGTTAGAATATTCATTACTACAAAATTTTGTTGTTTGGTGAACTTTCTCTTCATCGTTAGGTCGTAAATTTGTACAACATCCTTCACTTTAGAGTAAATTTCACCGATGACATCCCCCACTGTTTTTCATTATAGGCAGGAACATCAAAGTCTTACTTATTTCAGGAATCGTGGAGTTTCATGGTAATGTCATAATCATAGAACTCTTTTTGTCCCAAGCATCAAATGTGGTATCTCTGGGTTTTTGTCCAATACCCAAAAGAGGGTTGAGCTTGCCTTCACTTTCGAGGGTAATCCGGATTAATTGGGACCAACTCAAATAATCTTTACCTGTAAAGTGATAGATGTCTGGATTGGCTAAAATATATTCATATTATTTTTTATATACGAACGTGTTTCAGTATTTTGAAATGGTACCTTCCACATTCAGAAACAAAAGTGGTTGCGCAAGGAGGAAATCCACAACTTGAAGATAGATGCAGCTAGCATGGTTCTCCGCAGCTGATTGGGCATAGAGGAGGCTGTGCAGAGTGGTCCACAATATGGACCAGTGTTCGCATGACTAACCACCACAAGAGCGGCTAGGGCCGTGGCTCTGATCAAATATGCAATAAGCGAAGAAGCACTGTAAGGTTGTGCCACTGCAAGACGCTGCGACCAAGGGCAACCCAATCATTAAAGTAAATAATGGTGCAGAAGATTGGTGTCATTTGACACGTGTGGTCACATGGGGTTAGCGATCGCGTCTGAGCAGCAAGGCAAAACAAAGCAACGACGCGTCTGAGCTATGTGGTCACGACAAAGAAGCTCGCATTTGGTCACAATTTCACTTGTTGTTGCAGTCGCGACAAAGAGGTTTGTGACATAAAAGTAGTGTTGTAGTCATTGCCATGTATGGACAAAGAGAAATTCGCCCTTGCACAGAAAAATATCTCTGGAACATAAAGAGATATTCTTGACTACACAAATAGAGGGAAGTAGCAGTGGAAGATTGATGATGCGCGATTGAAGGGTTTTGACACCGGCAATCAAGGTCGGTTTGGTTGCTCCTGGTGGCCGGCAATGGTGATTGGATATAAAAGCTAACCAAACTCTTTTAGAGGCTTTTTTTCCTATTTCAGAATAGGTTTTGTAATTAAAACTAAAGTTTCTTTAATCTAGTTCTTTAATACTATGTTAAGAAATGTTTGATATATATCATATTGAATATTACAGTTTTTTATGT